GTATTGTCCCAGCGGTCATGTCGTCTTCTTCGTAGGGGGTAATCTCCGGACCGCCACATACTCACCACCTGTAGCCGATAAATCACAACGATAGGAAATTTTAGTTTTTCGTACAATGACTGTAGAGTCCCATCCGCGATTAACAATCACACTATTATCCCGCAAGAAATAATCCTCTGCATCAAAAATATTGACAGCCCCAACCCCCTGTTTCATCATTAACCTGGGTGCTTTAACTTTATAGATCGAAAAAAAGAAGAAGCCATGTCAGTCACCGGAATCGTGGTTTTATTAGTCTGAGCTTTCGAACCCTTGCGGAAGTCCATCTTCAGAGATAAAATCTTCAACGAAAAACAAACAACATTTATAGGGGAACAGGGTCCAATCAACCGTCATAGGCGCCGGGGGATGAGGGATTAATTAACCACCAGTGCCGTGAGTCTGGAGCTGCCTGTGCGGGGCGAAGTATGCGGGCGCCAGCTCGATACATCGGTTTACTGAATTGTCATCTGAGGCCCAGGCCTCAATCAGTTCTCAGCCTGTCTTGTTGCCAACGTGAGCAGTTATCCTCGCAGCTCATAGATGTGGGCAGCCACTTGCGATAACGTGTCACCCTGTCGTACAGCCAGCTTATGTTCGTGTATGCGCGAACCCAGCATGCATCCGGTCTGTCCAGTGTAATTTCTGGGGCAGTTTAGACATGGCATGCGATACACTAGGTCCAACTGCTCACTGGGATTTAATCAATTCTTAATTCTCATGACCCGACTGCACATGGTAGCTTTGAGACGGTGTGCAATTCCGATGCCTAGTCCCGTGGCAATGCGCTCGGTCGCTTCGGACACGTTCTTAATGCATGACAGCGCATGCCATATCGCAGGTGCTGGTTCTAGTTGTGTCCTTGTAAAGAGAGCACGTAGACATTTGCTTATGAAGACCTTAGGATAGCCATTCCGCATAAACTGTCTGAGCTTCAAGTCTCCCGTTAACACGCCCATGGGCAAAGAACCTGGGAAGAGATTTACTCAGCAGATGACGAGAGCTCCACTCGATTATTGCCACCAGTCTCTGAATAAACACAGGGCTGTAAGTGAGCAGAACAGAAAAGAGTGTACGCGCGTTTTCTGTGATTTTATCACTGGGGGCCTTGCTCAGGCAGTCGCTGCGCTGGCACAGCAGAATATGTTACAACCACCCGACATAGGAAGCTCAAACTTGGGACATGACCTCTCATCCAAGCAACTAACGGAACAGCAACTACGAGTGCTCCAGCATGAAGTGTGTGTTAACACTGCCGATGCCAACCCTGTCGATTTCATTTTAGACGTAGAAACCAAGCTTGTGAGGACTGAAACAATAGACGACGAGAACCACTCCATTCAACAACGGGTCGCCTCCATGCTGATGACACACCGACCAGCTCAATGTGTGCCGCAGAATAAGTCGACGACTATTAAAGACGTAAGAACGGGCAATCATATTATCATCTTGCCCGCGGATAAAGGACGGCCAACGGTCCTCATGAATCGAGAATATTACAACGAGAAATCCAAAGGTCTACTTGATGACAGATAATTCTAGAGACCAGCACAAAACTCGGAAGCAAAGGCAGTATAAAATCAGTTGAACAAACTACTTGAAGAATTCAAGCGCCGGACTGTGATCATGAGAACGTATGGCATCTACTGAAACCAGTATATACTGCCCTGGCTCGCTTCTATGATCTACCAAAGGTCCATAAACTAAACGTGTCATTGCGGCCAATCGTTGACCTAAGAGGCAGCCGCACTTATAATTTGGCAAAAAGGATGTACTCGAAACTAAAATTCCTCCAAGAAAACTATGATGCCTCAGTCCGTTCAGCCTCTCAATTCCTGGCAGCCCTCCATGGCCGAAGGATTCAATCGGACTGAATGATTGTTTCCTTTGATGTGCCATCATTATTTACATCCATTCCATTGGTTTTGGCACGAGACGTCTTGCACAGGAAACTTGAGGAGCTGTACGACGAAACCCAGAGTTCACCCACAATTGAACACCTCATGAGGCTGTTCGAATTTTGCCAAAAGACATACTTCACATTTGCTAGAGCGACTTATGAACATACCAAAGGAACTCCGATGGGCTCTCCAATCTCCAGTTTAATAGCAGAATTGGTCCTACAAGAACTGGAAAAAATTGCCTTCGCCCAAAAGCCCCCGAGTTTTTGGAGTCGTTACATTGGCCACACGTTTGTTATCGTCAAACGGTATACGCTGCAGAATTATGCGTGATCTTCTCAACTCGATCTTCCCAGATATACAATTTACGAGGGAAGAAGAAAATTATCATCTGCAATCCCTTCCTTGATGTACTCGTCAAGCGAAATCCCGACGGCGAAGAAGAAACGAGGGTCTACAGGAAGGCGAC